ATCATTTCGTCAGTGCTCTTTTTCGAAACTTTACAGAGGCTCTTAAACTGGCTAAACTGATGCAACGGCATCAATATCGATGGTAAGCTGCTAACGCACTTTTTCTTTGTAAACAGCAGCGTCGTCTTCGTCGAAGACGCGACGGAATTCCCACAGAGGATCAAACAGTTGCAAGAACAGTCTCTCATCAACGACTGAATTTCATATTTAAATGCTTAACCTCAACTTGAGAAATATTTCCATACCACTAACTCAAATCTGTGACCAATGTAGAAAAATCGTAAATCGCATTTTATTGTGGTACCTCGTTACAAAACAAATTGATGAATGTAACCTTGTTTTAGGTGGCTTACGTCAAAGGTCGTTTTGCCGTACGGAGCCGTGTCCTACTACTGGTCAGGCGTGACGACCATTGCGCTGGCTTACAACATGATCACCGTGTTGATGAGGGCGGTGTTCCACGAAGTGCAAACTAAGTTATTGGTATTTTGGCTGGTCGTCGATTATCTCAGCGATTTAATTTACATAATGGACATGTTGATCAAGTTCAGGACAGGTGAGTGAAAAGTGTGAGTAAAAAACGGACGTGAGTTTCATTTGCTTCGTTGAACAGATCATCGTCAGGTGCAGATCTTATTACCATAGATGCTCTCAATTTCGTATAGGCAAAACCAAGGCTACAGCTTCAGTGGATGCAGCAATGTTTTGAAAACATTCATTTTCATCTTCACCTTCCCTCGCCGCTTCTCCTTTCGGGTCGCGGGGGAGAGACACGTCAGACAGAGCTTCCAACGTTACCGACCCTGTGGCAGAGTCTCAGCTTCGGCAAAAGACAGATGCAGTCTAGAACAGACTCCTTTCATATATTTGCACCAGGTTAATCTTGGCCATCTCTGGGCCTTCTGCCGGGTCAGATTTGCAAGGAACAGTGCTTAGCCTTCCTTTCTGGAGGCATTCGCAACATGGTAACATTCACACTGAGCAATTTGTCATGCATGCGATTTGCCTTTGGGTTTCAGCATATACTACTGACCGTAGGGCTATTCGTAGATAGTGGCTATAGTTAGAATTGTAGCTACTTTTGGTCAGATGGCAGTGTTGAGGCACGGTCACGTTCCGTCGAGCGCGTTCACAAGTTGCGAATAGTGAAACATCCCTCAGATATGAGGGTTAGCTGAGAAATAAGCGGAGAACCCCAAGAATAAGCAGTCATGGACAGCGTGACGACCGTGCTTTGAGAGGGCGGCGTGCCAATTTCTGGCAAGATTCGTTCTAAGAAGTACCGCAGACCCCGATGATGGCACGGTGG